AGCCTGCGCTCCGGTGCACCGCGGACACCGCAGCCGCCGCCGCCGCTGCCGCCGCCGCTGCTGGGGACAGGTTGGAGCTGCTCTGGGGCTCGGCGCTGGGAGACACCAGTCCCGGGGGCGTGGAGGACTCGTAGCCGGAGCTGGCGGCTGGGGAGGACTCAGAGCCCTGCGGGGAGGACTCATGGACCTGCGAGACAAAAGCCAGGAGGGGGAACCAGAGGGGACTGGGTGTGAGTGCAGCTGCTGTGGAGCTGGGCCTCCCGGGAGGCGCGCCCCCCAAGGTGACCACCCGCCTGCGCCCCAGGAGCCCTGCGCCCACAGAGGCGCAGCAGCTTCACTCAGCTCCCAGGTGCCCGGGTGGTACCTTCATGTGCTTCCGCAGTGAGCTGGGGTGCGTGTAAGACTTGTCACACATCTTGCAGAGATAGGGCTTATCGGAGGTGTGGACGTGCATGTGCTTCTTCCTGTCGCTGCTGTTGGCAAAGCGCCGGTCGCAGCCCTCGAACTCACACTGGAATGGCTTCTCCCCTGTGGAAAGGAAACAGGGGCGAGGGCTGCGGTCACCCAGAGCCCTGGGAACCTCGATTCTAGTCGAGGGAGGAAGGATTCCCCCCCCCCCAGGAAGGGAGGGGGGAAGAGAGGGAGCCATGCTTTAACAGGTGGGAGCACCCTCCTGGCAAACTTAAGATGTTGTTCACCACCTTCTTGGTGCATTTATTTCCGACTGATGCCCATGACCTCAAATTTCTAATGAATTTGGGGTAACGCCGTGCCTGCCTGCCTTTTTAAAAAGAAGGTTTCTTGGATGCACAGCTTCTAACAAGTTGGTCTCGCCATGGAGAAGCTGTTATTATGACAAAATATTTGGGGCATTATCTAAATGACACAGGCTGCTGGTCTACTGTCGGTTCCTCTTTGGGGCCAGTAGGCAATTATATTTGGAGTTGCTGTGTGTTGTTTGGGGATGAGGTTGTGGAGAGTGAGTGTGCCAGTTATTTTCTTCATCCAAATTTCTGTAAATTGGATGAACCAGTATTTTTGAGACATCTCTGCCCTCTTAGAAAATTGTTTAAAAGGTAAGTATTAAAGAACAGGCAGCATCTAGTGATTATTGAGAAGCACAGCCTGGGGACGGGGGACGCCAGCAAAGGCTTTCAAAAATCTCCCAGTTTAATTTTCTGGCGGTCCCCACTTCCTGTTGCCAGAATTCCAAATGCTTGGAGTCATTTAGAGGTGTGAGAACTCAAACAACGTTCCACTTGGAAAAGGGGGCCATTTAACGTTAGTTTTCATTAGCACCTAAATTGTTTTTTAAAGACAACCGTTCAGATACAGGACTCGAAAGCGAGCATTTCATGCAAATAAATTTCTCAAATTTTAAACCTTGTTAAAAGCTTGTCTCGCACCTCGACTCCCTCCCTTCCCGGAAGAGAACAATAGGCCGCTGGCTCATCCCCACTTCGGAGTAAATATTGACGAGGGAAGTTGCTAAAACATTTGGCTTTCTTTTAGAAATTCGTCTGGCACGATATTGGCTGGGACCTGGCCATAGATGAATAATCTATGAAGCAGGAGGCACGTTCTTTTGCAGCTCTGCGTTCTCACGCGATCCCCTCGGCGGGGCCCGCATCGCCCCGGGCTCTCGCTGACCGGGTTGTGGGTCCAAGTTAGGAATCGCAAACCCTCTGGTGCCCATTAGAGAATTTCACAAACTGCTTAGGAAATTACCGTAAAACTCACCCCGCAAAGGGCTTTAAAAACACTTTAAAAATGAGAAATGTTTTACAGCTTCAGAGTACTTTAATGGAAAACACTCCTAAGAAGGGCGTTTGGACCTCAAGTAAAACAAGTGGGAAAACACAGACACAGCCGAAGCAGAAAAGCACATTCAGACCAGCTGGCAAGATCTCCCCTAGGCTGGATTCCCGGGCACCCGGTGCGGGACCAGTTTTCTTCTTTGCTTTCTGTTTAGAACGGAAATTATTAATCAGAACTGAGCAAACGAATTATTGTCATCACCCAAAACATACATTTGATGTTTCACTTATCATTTAAAACTCAATTTCCGCACATGGAAAAACCCGGCCCAATAATATTATTTTCTCTTCCAACAAAAATAAGCTGGCTCTCTCGCACACACCAAAAACATCTCCCATTCCAGGACTGGGGCTGGCGGCCGGCGTGTTTCTCCCTGCAAATCAACCATCGCCTCTCTCCCCAGTGTGCCCCCTTCTTGCCGTGGCCCGCGGTTACCTGTGTGGGTCCTTTTGTGGATCTTGAGGTTCTCAGAGCGCGCGAAGACCTTGCCGCAGCCCGGGAAGGGGCAGGGGAAAGGCTTCTCCCCGGTGTGTACGCGGATGTGGTTGACCAGTTTGTATTTGGCCTTGAAGGGCTTGCCCTCGCGCGGGCATTCCTCCCAGAAGCAGACGTGGTTGCTCTGCTCCGGGCCGCCGACATGCTCCACCGAGACGTGGGTCACCAGCTCGTGCATGGTGCTGAAAGTTTTGTTGCAGCTCTTCTTAGGGTTGCTCAGTTGTTCGGGGTCGATCCACTTGCAGATGAGCTCCTGCTTGATGCACTGCTGCCGCATGTAACGGAAAAAGGCACCAGGGTGGTGGTGGTGATGATGGTGGTGGGCCGCGGCCGCTGCCATGTTCATACCCATGTTCATATTCATAGGACCGTACTGATTGTGGAGCTGCGCCGCCGAGTAAGGGTCGGTCCGGGGGCTGGCCACCTGTCGGTACTGCTCCGAGCGCCCGAACACCTCGCCAGGCAGCCCGAGGCGCATCTGCCCGTTGAGCACATTCTGCGAGCCGTGCGGCCCATGCTGCTCAGGGAGGCCGGGAAAAAGGAGGTGGCCCTGCGCGTCCGAGTGCGCGTGGTGTAGGCTGCCCGCTCCAGGCCCAAACAGCCCATGTTGCCCACTACCGGGCGCAGAGTCTCCAAAGCCGCGGCTGCGGAACAGGAAGTCCCGGGTGGAGTTGAAGGGCGGCCCAGAGTAGGAGCCGACGTGCGCGGCATGCGGCCCGAGCGCCGCCGCGGCAGCTGCTGCGGCAGCAGAGCCCGGGTAGGCACCAGGGCCCTGAGACGTGAATGCCGAGCTCTGGCCGGGGGACAGTTCATGCGCGCCCGGGTTGAGCTTGAAAGCGCCCATGTGCGCGGCTGCAGAGTCTACGAAGCCGTTCTGCGCCGCTGCCAGACTCAGCTCGCGGTCCTGCATCTCCGCGGCGGCGGCGGCCGCCGCCGCCGCCGAATGGTGATGGTGGCGCGCAAAGCTGCCCACCCCGATGGCCGGGAACTGCGGCCCCGCGTCCAGGAGCATGGCCAGCGCGCCTGCCCGCCCCGCCGGCCCCGGCGAGCCCTGCACCTCCGCGCTGCCCCGGCTCCCGCTCTGCGCGCTGTGCGTCCAGCGGCCGCCTGGCCCTGGGCACAGGCGGTGGTGGCGGCGGCTTCAATCCAGGCAGCCGGGCTCCTGCACCCGCCAACTCCTCTACTGCAGCCTGGATCTGCCTCTGGCGGACAGGAGTGAAGGGAAGACGCGGAGAGGAAGAAGAGGAGGAGGAGGTGGCAGAGGAGGAGGCGCGGAGGAGGAGGTGGAGGAGGAGAAGAGTCCAAAGCCAGGCGGAGAACCAAAGTGTATTAAAGGAGCTGCGGCGGGGGCGGGCAGGCCGTGCAGGGGAGGGCGGGCGGGAGGAGGGAGCGGGAGGGAGGTGTGAGGAGCCAAGCCGAGCGGAGAGGGGGGACGCCGGGGGGCGAGCGCAGCGACGGGGCTGCGCCGAGGCCCCCACCTCTGCGCGCACCCGCGCGCGCACGAACACACTCACACGCCCCGCGGAGAGCGGGGGTCCGGCCGCGCAAATCCACACTCGGAGGGAAGAAGAGAAAAACAAAAATCACTGCAACAGTGAAGCCACAAAGTCCAAACGCGGCGGTGGTGCGAAGGCAAGGAACTCGGGCGATCAGGGGACACAAGCGAGCAATGCTCTCGTGCCCGGACCCAGCGCTCCTGCGGCTCCACCTGACGGCGGCGGGGGCGCTGGGCAGCGGGCGGAGGCCGGGCACCCTCCCCGCTGCGCGCTCCGCCGGCTGCTCCCTCCCCAGAAGCCCCGCTCGCGCCGCCCCGCGCGCGGCGCTTATTGTTCGGCGCTGCAGCCGCGCTGTTTATCCCTCCTCGTCCTCCGCGCTTGGCATTGGCTGCGCCTCGCGTAGTAAACTTGCCGCGGCCGCGAATTCCCCCAGATGAAGCGAGCAGCCGCTCCGCTCCCTCTTTCTTTAAGTTGTGCCAGAGAAGGAGGCGGGGGAGCAGGCTAAAGGAGGGGGCTGTGGGAGGGGAGAAGGCTAAGAGGGGGAAGGGGGAGGGGGAGATTGGGCTGAAAAACAACAATAAAAAATGTGATCTCTGGCTTTCCCCTCTCCCAAGTCGCCCGCGGACGCGGTACAGGGATAGGGTGGCCGCATCCGCGAAGCCGGAGCAGAGTTAGCAGACTGAGCGAACGTGGAGGCCAAGGCGGATCGCACCCCTCTTTCGGCTGCGTTGGGCTCTGTATGTCACCACCTCCACGGCCTTTGTTTATTTCGGTGGGCGCCGCCGCTGCAGCTTTTTATTTTTTATTTTTTGTCTCCTCCTTTTCCTCTCCCCTCCCCCTTCTCCCCTCTTCCTCGGCCCCCCTTTCCCCTTCTCTCCCGCTCCGGGCCTGGCCGCCCCGTTACACCGCCCCTTTAACAGCGGCTCCCGCCCCGCCCGCCTTCCTGGCGTCGCCATTGGTCGCCTGAGGCCCGTCAATCAGGTGCCCCCGCCCCACGTTGGGACTGTCCCTCCTCCCCGGCGCCCTGGGCGTTGGGCCGTGCCCTAGGCGCGGGCTAGCGTGGCCGGCCGCCCGCCGGCGAACCTCCTGCGCTCTACTTGCGCTCCAGACGCCGGGTCTCCGGGTCCCGGCCAGCGCGGCGCTCTCTCCTTGGAGTGTGGCCGCGACTATTGCCCTGACCTGGGCTGCGGGGTCGTGGCGCCCGGGCCATTTCCAAAACTGGAAGGGGACGGCACTGAGCTCTCTCTTTTCCACTATAACCACTGTCTCCCCAGGAACTCGAGCCATTGGGGGGGGGCACTTAAAATCGCAGGGACGCGTGGCTTGAACACGCTTGGCTCCTCGATGGGCCACCGGGCGGAAGACATCAAGGGCCACCGCAGCCTGGGGCCCCTCCGGAAGCAAGCTGCAGGGAGCGACCCAGGGTCTTGTTTCTTGGCCCTTGTGGCTCTCCCTATACCCTCTGTCCTTATAAATGCGTTCTGTGCACAGGTGCAAGACCGTGAGTAGAGATAAAACCCAGCCATCCCCTTGCTGTCACTCGCTGGACACTCACCCAGACACCACTATCCCCAGGGCCAGGAACCTTGCTGCCCGTCAGCACGCACTCCTGTCCCCTGCTGCTCGCTTAACAGCCGTAAACCTCCAGGCAGCAGCCCCAAAAGGCAGGGGCGTGTTTGGAAGCGGCTAAAACACAGGGGCACCCTCAAGGTGGAGGCCCAGAAGCCTGAGGTTGCAGCTACGGGAAGGTGGGGAGTGTGGGGACGCCCGCAGCGCACGGCCAAGGGACACTCGGGAAGAATTTGGCTGCAAGTCAAACTTAGGGCCTCGGGCTCAGAAAACGCCAGGCTCTTCAAGTGCAGATCTTCCCCAGGGCATTTATCACTCCTTTTCCGGGAGTGAGGAGCGCCCCTGGGGCAGTGGCAGAGCAATCAGGTGGCTTCCCGCGCGGCGACCGCCAGGGTGTACCGGCGCTGCGGCCGGGCCTGGTGCGGGTGACTGCCGGGTTCGCATTTCCCGCCCAGCCAGGCCTGGTGCGGGAGACGGCCGGGTGCGCCTTTCCCTCTCTGGCGCGCTCCGGAGGCGGCCGAGGGCGCAGTGTTCCGCTGGGCCGGGACGGAGGTGTGAAAGGGCAGCTCGAAGCCAACCTCTCTCTACGCCAGGCTGACTTGTGGAACGGCTTTTATTTCGAAATCACTCAGAATTGAGATAAAATTGAAGAGATGTAAAAGAACCAACATGCATTTTAAAAATTGCATGTTGAGATGAACTCGACAGAAACGTAGGAGGCTTCCTCGATCTCACTTATTGCAGGCCGAACCTGGGACTCTAGGGCCGGCACAGGCCGCCTCTCTCTGGCCCCAGAGCATCTCTGAAGGTTAGAGACATCAGCGCCCTCGCCCCTCTTGTACTCCTGCTGCCCAGCCCCCCTGTGGGGAGGGGGCAAATCAGAAGAAGGAGGTCAGAGCGTCTTGTATGAAAGCAGGGGGGTCACTGGGATGATCTTTGATTTTCCTGAAAGCAGGACATTCGCCTCTTTCCCAGGCCTCTATGTAAAAGGAGGGGAGCGAACAAATGCAAACTGCCCCCCACCCTTATCTCTTTCTTGAAGAGTGGGCGAAAAGGCAGAAAATTTCCGGGCAGAGAGTCCTCCTTGGCTAGGTTAAATTAGTTAAAAAATGATCCGGAACACCCCTTTTTATCTTTCTTACTTAATGTGTCTGTTCACTAGTTTTAGATTTGGGGGCCGGGTGAGGCGAATACTTAGAAAGGCTTCCTCCAAAAATATTTCAACCGCAAAATATTTTCTTATAAATTGATCTGGGTGATAACAGTCCTGCACACATCCAAGAGACTTCGCTGACTCCCCTTCCCTCCTTCGGGCAAGGCTTCAGCAAGTTTTTCTTCTCCACTTTCTCACTTCCTCCCTTTCCCTCTCCCCACTTTGCTCTCATGCTCCTGAGGCCCATTCTCATCTTTCGCTTTGATTTCTCCTTTTTCTGTGCCTGCGCTCCCGACGGCGCTGCTGGGCGCTACTTCGCTCTAACTCCGGGGCCTCGATAATTCCCGCCGGAGACCCCCGGGGCCGGGCCCTCCCGGCTATTCTTCCCCCGCTCCAGTTCTCCTCTCTCTGCGGGACACAAGAAGAGCTGAGCCAAGTTCAAAGTCACGTCGCCGACCCTTCTCAGAAATGCTTTATTTCTCCACAAACCGCAAACACCCTTTCCTTCTCCACACGTTGTTGGGTTTTGTTTTGTTTTGTTTTTTAAGAGAGGACAAGAAGGGGTGATGAAGGAGAATAACCTGGTTTAGTTATTGCCTCCAAATCGACTTGGATTCCTTAGTGAAGGAAAAAGATTTTTTTTTAAATTTTTTTTTTTAAGCAGTTAAGCTGCGTTACAGACCCTGTGAATGAATTCAGTTTTTCAACAGGTTTCTCGAAGGGCCGGTCTAGGGCTGCCTCCAGCAGGGAAGCACTCCCCTCTTTGTAAGTTTTCCAACATTGTTCTTCCTGAATGTCCCCAAGCTTGCTTTAGGGCTGGGCTGGAACCTGGAGAAGGCTGGTGAGGGTCGGAGGGATGGATCTGCGTGGCCAGCCCATGACCGACTAGAGGGCGTTCATTTCTAGACAAGTGGGGAGGCTGACAAAGCAACTGGTAATCTGTGTTGTCTTCTAGAAATAGAAAAACCCACCCAGACATTCATCCACTGAGCACCTCGCGGAAGTCTGTGCACAATGCATTGAGTTCTTTTGCAGTATGATGAGTATTTTACACACACACACACACACACACACACACACACACACACACAAATCCTGTGTATATAAACATACAACATAGTCTTTCACCTCTACAGGTATCTATTGCAGCCAATAAACAAAACCAAACAGTAGAACAAAATCGATCTTTAAATTAGCAACCAAAACCACTTGGTTGTGTACCATTCAAACATTTCCTTTTCTTCTGAAGGCAACATATAGAAAAAAGAGCAAGGAATGAGATGGGAGAAACAAAAGCCAAGTATAAGCTGTCTCTATAACCCAGACACTTCCTTCTCCCTTACACAACCCAAAAGAAAGGGGATTTCACAGAATTCCAGTAGCATCATCTGTATCACAGATTCATAAATTCAACAAGATCATCAACAGGATATTAAGTTGCAGGTCACCTTTGATTCAGCCTTGTCAGCCACTCCTGGGCTGGACAACTCTTGACCCATGACAGACCACATGTGTGGTGGGAGAGAATTCCCTCTGTACAATCTACCTAAAACAAAAGTTCTTTGTCGAGAATGTAGGGAAGTATAATGTAAAAGAAAGGGAACTCAAGAAAATCTCAGCCAAAGTTGCAACTTATACATACATTTTTCAAGAAGGAGGTTGAGGGGGAGTGGCTAGGTGTCTTAGGATATAGACCTCTCCAGGTAACTAAAGAACTTTCCTTTTTTGAAAAAAGCTAAATTTACTGTTCGTAACCAGGTTTATTTTTAAAGAGTCGCAGGCGACTCAACGGCA